TTGTTACAGCCAAACCCCTTGTCAGCAAGCAACCTCTTGACTTCATTATGTACTTTTCAGCAGATGGAGTTTGGGGATTCCTGTGAAATTGTGAAAGCAACAGCACAGAGACTCAGCAGAGCAGAGCTAAGGGGGAATAACAGGTAAATAATCCAAAGGGCAACAAACAACAAAGGTAGGGTCAGGATATGTTTAAAAACATCACAAATAAGAGATTCTGGATTCATAAGAGAGTTTGAGTTTTTCACTACCAAAGAGTTTTAAGAATGGTAATATTTTATAAGAAAAATATTAAAATAGAGCAACAGAAACCAAAAAATATTAAAAGCACACTGCTTCATTATAAATTCAGTCTAAGCTGTTCTAGGTATTTCCAAACATTTCATGTTTTAATTGGCTTCCCCAGCAGATATCTTAGAGTCAACAAGTCACATCCACTTAATCTTGTATTGATTTTCTAAGATGCTTCCTGTTACTATGACTACCCTAATCAATTAAATTCTTGTAAGGTGCAAGACAATTTTCTCTTTCTCTTTTCCTTCCGGCTAAGAATGAATACTTTATTTCCACAAAATATATCTGATGTTGCCTCTTATCTATCAAGGAGCCGCATTGTGTTGGTAAAAAAGTCTTTTATGCCTTTCCTTTAAAAAAAAATGTTTGAAGATTCTGCAAAGAGAAAGCGTACAGAATTGTCTTGGATTGGTATAATGAGTGGCTTACCAATTTGTGGTTGTGAGGATAAAAGTTCTCTTTGGCTAGCAGAAAAGTGCCTTGCCCTTGCCCTTCATCACAGGGAACTGGGAGGTTGGTGGTCACTCAAAGAGACCACTCACTGGGAAGAAGAAAATGGTTCTGCCACTTGGTGTCCAAAAAAGTGCAAGGTCAGCCATTTGTGACTATTTTAGTACTGTACTATCCCAACAAAGACATTTCACCTGTACTGAAATGTGAGGATTTTTGGCATGGGGGAGGAAAGTTACTTTAACCTGAGGCTACCCATTTTTTCTTAGGCACAGCCCTGGAAACAACAGAAACAAGGGGGCATGGGAGGCACAAACTATTGGATGTAAAATAAGCTCAAGGATGTATTGTACAACACGAGGAGTATAGCCAATATTTTGTAATAACTGTAAATGGAAAGTAACCTTTAAAATTGTATCATTTTTCTAATTAACAGAAAACCAGAAAAAACAAGATTCAGGAAAGACATTCATTCTTTGGAATCAGACAACCTGGACTCAAGCCTTGAGGTCAGCTGAGAAAATTCAGGTAAGCATCTTAAGCTCCCTGAAGTTTCATTATCTGTCCTACAAAATGGGATCAATATAAGTACCTCTAGGGTAGTCTGGGTGTTCTCTATATCTAAGCCCTCTCCTTTGATCCCAGTCAATTCTTCTACCCAACAGATCTTTCCAAAGAAGAAGAGTGACCAGGTCACTTTCCTGTCCCAAATGTCCCCATGTCTGGAGTACACAGGTCAAACCACACAGCATGCCTTCCTCCAGCCCATAGGGCCAGGTCTCAGCCTGCCCTTCCCAGATCACCTCTGGTCATTTGTTTCAATTCATTTCTCACTCTAGCCGTATCGAAACTGATTTATCATTTACTTTCAATGCTTTGTAGCTGTCTGTTCAAGGCACCTCCCCCAAAGTTTCCCTGCCCCAAATGCTCTTCCTGTCCTTATTCCCTTAGCAAACTCTTGCTCTTCCCTCAAGGCCAAAGCTATCTCCACAATCACCACCTTTCCAACTGTGCCAGGAGTTTCTCCCAAAAGAAACGAAGACTAATTTTCACCAGGTAAAAAAAAATCTCATGTTTTGTTTGGCTTCCAACGAGAAAAATATATATTATTTGGCAGCTAACATGAAAATATCTAGATGCTATTTAACCACAAAGTAAGTGATTTTTAAAAAATGGAATCTGTGTATCTATAATCTGAGCACTAAAAGCAAAATACGATATTTTTCAGATTCCCAAAGTCAATCATCTTTAAGTCTTCACAGCCTAGGTAGTCACTGAATTGTGAGAAAAACAGCACACATCCAGGAAAATAAGCCACTTGAAAAATGAGCTTACCCACATCAATTACTTTGATCATTAATATCACCTGCGAGGTGTATTATTTCTAATGTAATACTTTAAAATTGGTATAAATGAATAGACTGACATCCAAACAAGTTAAGTAATTTGCCCAAATATTTGATATGTGGCAGGGCTGCCATCCAAACCCAGGTCTGTCTGCCTCTATAGCACGTTTCCATCCTTCAACAGTGTCTCTCTATTGGCCTTCCACTGTGATCACAGGTGGATCTTACAGCAATGGTCTCTGTGTTTTTATCCAAAGTATAAGGTGCTATCTCTAGTTGGGTCACTCAAAATACCTGAGGAAAAAGAGGATTGGTGTATGCAGGTAGAGACGTTATACAGTCACCTCTGTATAAAGGAAGAGAGATGGGCCCTCTTCAAATCACAGTTACATCCCTTAATAATACACATCATTAAATGTTTCCTCCTTGGCACTAGACCCACTGGTAGCTTTTCTTACTTTTGGTTTAATTCCCTAGGGTATTTTTTTGTTTGCCTATTATAGCAGAATGATAGCGTGATACAAATTATCACTGAGTTATTAAAAATATTCTCACCTCTTAATTTCCCTGACTGGGTTAATTGGAAGGGGTTTATTATTGTGGTTTTGGTGGTGGTCTTAGTGATGGCAGTAGTTGTGTTTAACAATCTAAAATTGTGCACATGTGTCTTTACTTCAAACACTTTACGGTTTCACGCTAATCTCAAAAAAAACAGTTTATTCATGCTCTGCGTGAAACATATCAATACACAATAATATTTCTCACATAGTAAGTACAAAATAAAACAGAGTCTTAATTAGAAAAGTCAGAAAACGTTACTTCAGTATGAAAGTAAATATGAAATCACACATGTCACAATGGAACATTTTTAGCACATCTTATATTCTCATTCAGAATCACCATTGTTTATAGATATCGATATAGACATAGACAAAGATATAGACATAGATATAGAGCATCTAAAAATTAATTTGAACTAGAGAAAAAATGAGTTTAAAAGTTAGTAACATGTCAAATTTATTCCCAGGAGGATCTCCCTCCTTTTAAGTGGCTTCCCAATTGGCAACCAGGAGGAATCAACCCTGCTTACTCAGTCTGGGTCCTGGGAGCAAGGAAAGGGGATGGGGACAGTGATGGGGAATAGAGATAAGGCAGTTCAGCAGAGGTCCCTGCAGAGAGGGGGACCATTTCCCTGTCTAACACAAGCACAGAGGTTTAATCTGACTGTAGCTCCTGTTGGGCTGACCCTCAGCACTTAAAGAGTCCTGATCAGAGCCATGGGTAATGGGGAAGTTCCCAAATGTGTCCAAGTGGTCAGGTTTTTCCTCCACCAAGGACTTATATTACTATTAAATGACTCCATAAAGTGTGTAAATTAGCAAACAGCAAGATATTGAGTCTATCCTTGAGTTGTTTGTTTTTTTCAATTTTTTGGAAATAATATGAGTTCTCCAGTTCTTCATATGCTGAAGGCCTAGACTACCCCTCATGCCAGTTAAATTGGGATCACGATTATAAAAGGCTAGGTTACCATTCTGTGTTAAGTAATATGGTTGGTGGTGACCAATTTTCTCTATAGAGTGAGGAACACTTTACACGCTGATGGCAGGAGGGCAGAATTAGGACTGATTCTACATGATACACACATTTCCAAGCACTGTGTTTCCCCATGCCCTCCCAACTCTTATTAACTGTCTCTATGGAGTTAAAAAGAAAGTGTAGTTCAAGATAAGGCAGGAGCAAGGCTGACTCACCAAGAGCAACTCAGGAAACCTGCATCAGGGAAAACCTATCAGAGAAAAGGATCAGTGTGTCTTATTCACTCCAGGGGCAAAACCCAAATTGTGAATTCAATTTGGTTAAGATGTCCTGCTGCTTGGAGAAGTGACCTTTTTTTAGGAGGCAATCATCCTTCAATTTAGGTGCCTATAGACACAGTCAGAAATTACTGTGAAGCAGAGATCTAGATAATTTTGGTTGTTCTACTTAAAAAAAAAAAAAACTAGCATCCTGAACTAATGAATGACAACGATAAAATTAGTTATTTTGTGATATTTTCACTGATAAATGTTATAAAAACTAACTGCTGCAAACTTCTAAAAAGCATGTTGAACATACTGAGAATACTGAATAAGCTCACTTAAGAATTAATTTGCAAATCTTTTTAAGAATTTAAATTTTATTCCATAAATAGTATATATAAAGTAGCATAAAGCCAAGCAGAGAGCAGAAAAAAGACACCTTAAAACTTAAAAAGAAATCGTCGATATTAGGTTTATAACATGCCACTAAATAATAACTGATTTTCCATTTTATAATTCCCAACCAGTTAAACGTCATTCATTGGAAGATGCACCATTCCTCTGTCAACTCCACATCATGGCCCTTCCACAATTAAAAAAAAAAAAAAAGAGCAAAAAAAACCCCAATTAAGTATAAAGAAGTAATTCAAAACAGTGATTCCATATCTCAGATACCAAAAAACATATTGATTGATTGGCTTTCCAACAGTTGTTGGGCAACTAAATGGAACAATGAAGCAAACATTTAGCTAATTAACAACTATACACAGAAAAGGAAAGAAAAACAAACAAACAAAAGCCTAGATAGCTAAAAATTAAAATACAGAAGATGTTGCTTGTTCTGATTATCAAGCTAAAAATCCCAGATCATCACTGGCACTTATAGACATAGTGAGGGCTTAGTGCCAAGTGTCACAAGCTTCCATTCATTAAAAGGCCCACATCTTCTAGCTTTTCTTCTATGATCCTTTGTCCAGTTAGTGTTTGTCCTTGAAAACTAGTTTTTTAAATGTGCTTTTATTATTCCTTAAGTAAGATCTTCTGTTGTTCTACCACAGATAAGCCAAACATGGGAGACTGAGAAACTGGGTAATTTGTAAATCATTACCTGAAGGCCTTCGATAGCCAAGCGCAGCATGCTTGGTGTAAGTTTAGAGGCTTGCTTGAAGGTGAAGTTACTCCAGTCTATGATCAAAACAAATCCATTCACTTGAAGCTCAGGATCTTCAATCATGGCTTCTAAAGAAAGTAAGATGGCACGCAAAATATCCACCAGTGTGTACCTATCGGCAACAGAAAAGGGTTGCATTAAATCTGACAACCACTTGTGTAGAAGCTATAGAAAGTTGTGAAGCGTACTAAAAATTCCCTCTTAAACTACATCAGGAATCTTAAGGAAATGATTTTGTTTAAAAATCCTCTTTTAAGATGAAGTTTACTTTATTCGCTATACTCAGGGGACATACTAGAATTTAACATGTATTCTACCAAAACAAATTCCAATGCTTTTGAAAATACTACAATTTGTTTCCTTTTCCTTTCCTTCTAGGCCTTGCTATGAGTTTATAAAATCTCATTTCAACAACCCTAAAAACTAGGCATGGTACTTTTAAATAGCTCAAGAATGCTCTCAGAAGTACTGACATTTCATATCTTCACATGTGGAAAATTTGAGAATGAGATTTGAAGGAGTTTCATCAATAAACAACACTACACATAAACAGTTATGATTGAAAGTGTCAACAGATTTTAATTGTACTGAGTTTATATCATAAAGGTAAAAGAAAAGAAAAGACAAAAAGGAAAGGTGGGATGGACAGAAAGGAAGGGAGATCAATGAAAATAAAAGGGAAAATGTACCTTTCTGTTATTACATAGGCCATCCAAATTTAGGGGTCAAGACTTTATCTTTTTCTACCTTGCAACTTAGCACAGTGCCTTGCACACTGTAAAAACTCCATAAATGCTCTTTACTTTCTTCTAAAATGGAACTAGACTAGAGTGCAAAGACACTAATTGTGCATTAAGACACTGCCTCAACGAAGGCAGTGGAAGTAAGAAGAAAAGAAGCCAAATTTGAGAAGTATTTTAGACGTAAACTTTTTAAAATTTAATACTTAATTAAACGTGAGGGCTAAGATTGAGGGAAGAGTATAAGATGACACACAGATTCTAGCTTCAGTCTGATTAGATGGTAAAAATCTTTCATCAAAATCAAGAGTGCAAAAAGAGGATACAGTTGAGGATGGCTGGAAATGTGGAATTTGGAATAGTATCCGTTGTACTTGAGAAACATGTAGTATACCCAGAAAGATATATCAAGTAAACATCTGAAAAAGTAAATTCCTAACTCAGGAGAGAGCTCAAGATTGAAAATTCCAGAATCAAAAGCACACCAATCCTACGTTCAAGGAAGTGGATGAGGTAATGCAATCTGAGCTGAGAAGAAAATGAGATAATTACTCTAAGAGGGAATCCCAGCATTTCAAGAGGGATTAGTAAATTTATGGAAGATGTTAACAATTTTCCGTTTTTAGCAGCCTGCATTTCAAGTTTACTTTTCTGCTCAGACATTCAGGTGGAGGTATCTGGGAAAAGCGAGAGAAAGAAATCCTGACCTCAGGGGAGAGGTGGTGTGGGGAGGGGGGTGGATTAGGAGTGGAAATCATTGGGATTCAGTGGAAGCAATGGGCTCACCAGGAAGATGCATGAGACAGTGAGCACATGTGAGGGAGTAGTTCTATTTTGACTTCTAAAAACATTTGGAGGCGAATGGAGAAAGTGTAGTAGTTCAGAAAGGAAGGAATAATTAACAGTGAAACCTCAGGCAATTTCTCACTTTCTCTGGGCCTCATTTCCTCATCTGTAAAATCAGTAGCTTGGAATAGAATCTCTTTAGGGTCCCAGCATTAATTAAGCAAAGGGTGTGGTGTCAGAAGACTTCAAGACGGAATCTCTTCCTGTCCCTCATTAGCTGTGTGGCCCTGGACATGTCAATGATTTATCATTCTGAGGTTTAGTTCCCTTAAATGAGAGTATCTATGATTATCTCACTGCAGCTCACTGGCAGTGGCAAGGTGGGAGGAGGGGGTATGGGAAGGGAAGTCAAAGACATGATTCAGGTGAAACCATTTGCACAATGCTAGGTATGTATCATGTGTTCAGTAAATGTTGGTTGGAATACACACATAGCACCCTTTTTACTGTAATGGTAACCACAGACATAGGCAGGGTATGATCAGAACTAAAGAATATTTGCTTGTAAATTTTACTTAAAAATTAACAATAATCTTTACATAGCTTATTACTACTGTGAAAGGCAAGGATCAAGAGATTATTTTTAAATCTCTGGAAAGTATACAGGGTATTTATAGGCCTAAGGCTATGGCATCCCAAAATACTACATAAGCACATGAGATAAATTTTTTTGTAGAGCTCTGTTAGCTGTCTTTAAATCTGTGAAATATGAATGACTGAATACCTTTATCTGTCACTTCATGGCTGGCTCATCTCCTTTTTAAACATAATGGCCTAACACAGTATTGTGACCAGAAGCCTATAAGCCTACACAGACTGGAAAGTTGGAGCAGGAAGGCTTTAGTTCTGGTTAAAATTTAGAGCTACCCCCTCTAAAAAAGTATTCACTTTAATTTCTGAAGTTCATAATAATATCACAGTTAAGAAAATTAAAAATTAGAACAATCCAGTTTAGAACTTCCCCCATTATGATCATTCTTACATTTCCTATAAGAATGACAAGTAGCATTAATACCAAACAGCCTTAAGTAAAAGTGGAATCTGAAATCGGCTTTGGAAGAATGATGCACTGTATGTATGAAGAATAAACCATGGCACCAGCAGGGCTGAAAACAAGAGGCAATTTGTTTTAAGTAACACATTTTAAGTTTGGCTTTTCCAAAACTGTCAAATCAAGAGAGAAACTTATATACATATCATTATTCCAAAGGAAAGAAAATAAGGCAAATCCCAGGATCATCAATAGAGAAAAGCAGGTTTGCAAAGTTTTCAAGGGTAAATCTAACAATGATTTTTTTAATTTAATACTTTCTTCCAAAAAGAGAATTAAGTGATTTTTATATAAATTATACTAATGTATAAGTTTAATAAAAGAAACATAAAAACATCCTAGCTAACTGAATTCAAAGGGCAGGTCAAAACCACTCTTGAGGGCTTCCCTGGTGGCGCAGTGGTTGGGATTCCACCTGCCGGTGTAGAGGACACGGGTTCGAGCCCTGGTCTGGGAGGATTCCACGTGCCGCGGAGCGGCTGAGCCCGTGCGCCGCAAGTACTGAGCCTGCACTCTAGAGCCCACAAGCCACAACTGCTGAAGCCCGCGTACCTGGAGCCTGCGCTCTGCAGCGGAGAAGTCACCGCATAAAGAAACCCGCGCACTGCAGCGAAAAGTGGCCCCCTGCTCGCCGCGGCTAGAGAAAGCCCGCATGCAGCAGCGAAGACCCAACTCAGCCAAAAATAAATAAATTTTTTTTTTTTTTTTTTTTTTTTAAAGGGCTTCCCTGGTGGCTCAGTGGTTGAGAGTCCACCTGCCGATGCAGGGGACATGGGTTTGTGCCCCGGTCCGGGAAGATCCCACATGCCGCGGAGCGGCTGGGCCCGTGAGCCACGGACGCTGAGCCTGTGCGTCCGGAGCCTGTTGCTCTGCAACGGAAGAGGCCACAACAGCGAGAGGCCCGCGTACCACGAAAAACAAAAAAACCCACTCTTGACACTCCAATCCTCTGTTGTCAAACATGTCACATTACTACCATTAGCAGCTCAGCAGGTTATTCGTAAGCAGAACATTATTACATGAGACCTTGCCAAAGTCTGCAAAATATCTTCCAAAGAAATGGAGCATTTTATGAATTTTCTGTCTTCAGGAATCCTACTTTCATTATTCTCTTTGAAACTATTTCCGAACTGTTGTATTTTACAAATTAGACGTCACTACAATAAGTATTTCACAAGCTCACCCCAATTATAGTAGCTCTACCATTGCTATTCTTCCCTTCTATGTTGAAAGAAAGCCATAAACAATAAACTAGCCCATTAATGGAGCTCTTGGCTCCTGACTGTGCTTCCCAAAGCAGCATTAGGTAAAGCCTGAACCTGAAATCAACTTGGAGAGGATGAAATAATGACACCAGTACACCTGGGACTAGTAGACCACTGCTCTTGAAGGAAGTCAAAGCTGCTATAATATGTAAAAAAAAAAAAAAAAAAAAAATTCTCCTATCAAGAGCAGGGAAGCTGCTTCTGCCTCTGGCCTTACAAGGTTTTGGGGAGCTACCTAGCCTATGCTTCTCTCCTGGGGCTCACAACGTCTTATCCCCTACTAGAGCTTACAATCAGTGCAAAGAGCGACTTAAATCACAAACAGGCCATTTCCTTCCTACTCTCCAGCCCTTGCTTTTAGCCTGACAAGGAAAAACTGGCATCTTGGCATCACACTGAGCAGCACAAGAGCAAGCAGCTTCCCCTCTGTCACTAAATCAATCAGCCATTATTAAATTCTTCATTAAGGCTGCCCCCAGCCCTCAGTTTTCATTATGCCACATTTTCTAATGTCTGAAGCACTTTGTGTTAGAAAGGTGCCAGGGGAAGAGACAAAGGAGAAGAGTTACTTTTATTAATGCCTCAGAGTATCATTAGTGCTAAAGTCAATGAATTCACCAAGGTATTTTATATTACTGAGTGGTAATAATAATATCTCTATCTGTGTAATCGTTTAAGATTTCCAAAGCAATTTCAAACGCATTATCTTAATCTCAAAATAAGCCCAAAGTCTCTGTGCCTGACTTAGTTCCTATTATTTTGGAGATGAGGACACGGATGAGATCTCAGAGAATTTAGACAGTTTGTCCAAAATCACTATGGGAGTAAAACTGGAAGCCTAGATGAGAAGCTGGGTCTTTCTGACACCCCAGTGCTCTCCACTCCTTATGGTGCCTAGACCTAGAACCGAGTTTGATGAATAGCTGTTCTGCTTTCTCATGTCTCAGTGGCATACTGTGTGTCAGAAGATGGATCAGAAAGTCCATACCAACATGGCGCCAGGCCAGTTATCAGGTTAGCTCCAACCTGGTCCCAGCAAGGGGCTTTGGCGGAAGAAAAGTAACAAGACATTTGTAAAAGTCAGAATGGGAACAGGCTAAGTCTACAAACCTTGGAGGAAATGTGAAATCCAAAATAATTAAGTGTCTGGTTTGTATCACTAGGCACAGATTAGTTGTCTCAGCCTTGCTTTAATTTTACTGCTGTGGAA